AATAAATAAATAAATAAATAAATAAATAAATAAATAGGCAGACAGATAGACAAACAAACAAATAAATAAATAAATAAATAAATAAATAAATAAATAAATAAATAAATAAATAAATAGACAGGCAGACAGATAAACAAATAAATAAATAAATAAATAAATAAATAAATAAATAAATAAATAAATAAATAAATAAATAAATAAATAAATAAATAAATAAATAAATAAATAAAAATGAAATATGTCTATAAAGAAGTCTAACAATGATCTTAATTTATTCAGATTATATTGCTTACATACCCGACTGTGGACACTATCTTGTGGCTAAAATACCACGAAAGTAATTGAAAAAAAAAAACACCGATTAACGCTATGTTTGCAAGATTCGCCTAAGACGTCCGGTGTAGTCGGCGGTATCACCTAAGATGGTTGGAAGGAGGGAGTTGAGTGTGTGGAGGCTCTCGGCGTGTTCTTGAAAGCAGTGTACGATTCTAACACCGGGCTTGTAAACGCCATACCTGCATTTCTTTTGCCGCTAGCTTTTCGCGTCTGTCACCAAGACTTGAAAATGTGGTATTGGTATGTGAAATATTATATGTTAACCTTTGCTCGCTGTGACCGTTGTAAAATTGATAAACGCCGACATGTTTAGTTTAAATGCTCTTGTGGGTGCTTCTACAATAAGGATTACTATTTATGACACCTTGGCAACCAGCAAAAGAAATAACGGGGGTAGTTATGACAACGAACGACCGTAGTCAGGCAATTGGATAGTTATGACAATGGAGTGACACGGTCATGACCGTGACAGAACTTGAAGAAACTTTGTCTATGAATCACCGGCTACATGTCGCCTTACACTGTCTGGTTTCACGAGGGCGTCCTACATTACAGACAGAATGCGTGTCAGTGCAACTACCCACTACGGAATTTTCTTAAAAAGGAGCGAACATGATCGTGTGTTCCACAACAACAAAAATATTGGTATTATATACAGGTTCGGCGTGGCGACATAATGCTCTCATGATGTTACATTACGATAGCTCAAATAGCTTAGGCACAATTTAATGAGAACCTACACACCTGGTAACAAATCCACCCGGATTAGTATATAAAGCTGGCCGTAGCAACAAGACTGCATGAACACAACATAATATCGAATAAAAGTCTATATGAGTAAAAGAAAATACGGGCGTGAAGTTTAGAAGGGGTCAATGAAACCATCCACTCCAGGCAGTTAATTTACAGCGGCAGCGGTGAAACGTTTTCTGTAAATATGACTGTGAGATCGCTAGCGTCGGTTGTGGTAGCGGGTTGCTCATGGATACGAGTGAACCTGTCGCTGCGAGTTCACAAACACTGACAGTATCAGCATTGGTAACTTGGCAGGGCTGTTATTTCGATGGGTAGTGGGACCAGGGTAGAGGGACAGGCAATTAACCCGGGCGATTAACGCTATCTTCTAAAAGCAAATCTATTATGCGTACTATGCTTCGTACTCTTTTTGATTCATATACATCAAGGTTACTAAAAAAGACCGTGTATTTATACCAACTTTGGTGCGCATAATTTTGAGATGCGCCATATACCAGATATGGTCAGGGTGACCTTATTTGGAAAATGGAAAAAAACCGACGGCAGCGGGGGGGGGGGCTAATTTATTTGCAATTCAGGGCCTCGTGTACGTATACAAATAGAAGAATCATCCTTAATGGTGACATATCAGTTTTTTCAATCTTGTTCGGTCAGCTTGACGATGCTTTTTGTGAGAGCCTCTTGAAATTCCCGTCACTCACATTGCAGTTGTGTATATATACCGGTAAGTTAGCACCACAGGCGTCTCTCTGTGTCGTATTGAATATGGGACTCATGTCATGTGACGTTTACACCAATTTTCAAACCGGTTCATTTCGTGTAGTAATTTGCATATTATAAGTGCGTTCGGCATAACAGGTATGCATACCAGATGTACTGATTTCAAAATTGATAATTGTAATTGGCATTTCTGATTATTAGGCCAGACTTGTTTTATTCATTGTTTCTCGAGTTTTTATAAGGCAATTTTTTTGAGGAGGGCGAAAAATAAATAAAATTAATTCTTTTTTTTTCCATTAGATTTGTGTGATTTTCAAAGAATTGTAAGTGAGAATATTGATCGGCGAGAAGAAATGAAATAAAATGTTATTCCTATAACAAGGTTATACAATTTTATTGTATAACCTTGTTTCACATCTGCGTCAGACTTCGGTACTTTGATCATGATACTCCCACGAAAATGCAACTTGGATTTGTTATGCGGCGGGCGGTAAAAACATTAAGATAAGAAAAATAATATTTTTTAGCATTTTTTTTTGCGCTTACAAGTCGGTGGGCGCGAGAAATTACGCTGAAATAAAATTTTATTTTTATTTCATTTTTGGCTCTTGTTCATTCGGCGGGTTCGCGAAACAAGGGATAATAAAAGTCTAGCCTTAGTACCAGGTGTCAACTTGTATTATCCAATCAACTTCTTCTTCGCGGAAAATAGTTACGCTGGCATGAGATACCGGTGATTTTCAATACAACTACGTTCATCTCTTAGACATAATTATGTGGTCACGCCAGTATTCCAACCACTTAGGGACTGGTCATTTTCTTTTACCTGGGGGGTGAAAAACAAGGGGGTATAGCATTTTTAAATGCGCAAAAAGGAGCATGTCTTTACACTAAGTACCTAAGGAGAGGCGATTGATTTACTAGGACACAAACAAAAGTTCTTGGCCACACGACTCATATGCTTTCTATGTACACTATATTAGTATCTGAATTATTATATTCTAATTCTATGTGGATATGTTTTAACATTAAGAAGAGTAAGGTGTTATATTTCCACAAAATGACATGATTTTCAGATGTTTGGAAGTATCACTTTGGTTATCACCGAACTCGGCCAATCAAGGTCATGGTACCAAACTGACAGTGCAGGTGAAATAACGTGACGCAGTCAATACCACTGAGACAAAAGTTAAAAGCCTGTGCGAAGTGGAATTGACGTCACAAGGCATGATTGAATACTCACACACACCCCAAGGTGACCATGTTTATCATGATTTGTGCAGATTGTTTTGGTATTTTTGGTATTTCTACAACTCTAGTCGCAAAATCGGGATACTGTAAGGGTGACGGCCTTAGAGGCCCACCTGTCGTTCGTCCCGCTAGCAGCTCCGGGTGTCTTTGTATAAATTGGTTTATTGCAGG